CTGAAATTTGAGGTCTCTTAGATTTAGGTTTTCTTTGGGCTCTAGCGGCGTCTAGAGATTTGGGAGAGATCGATCCTCCTCTCGAATTGAGGATCAATTGTATCTTGCTATTTTATTCATCTACTAGTGAAATACAAGTCTTGACTTGAGTTTTCTCTCAGTTTTCACTCTAATTCTTGCTGTTTTCCTGTGATCACCTGCTGGTCCACTGCTATAAACAGCAGTTTTTCTTGAAGTTTTACTTCAGATTTGTCTAGGAACTACTTGAAATCAAGTATTTCCTATCACTAAACTAATAGTGGAATTGAATCAATATGATTAATGAAGTTTAGTTAGCCTAAGTTGGAGCTAAAATGTACTTATCCTATTAGCAAAGTAATGTAGCCATCCTGTTAGTGTGATTGACAAAACTATGACATGTTGCCGACCTTTTTAAGTAATAGCTACGGAAGCCGCCTATTGATATCCTCATAAGCTTCTATGGCTCAATACTTATATAGACCATAGCTCCCACATTAAAGGAAGATTACACATGCAAAACACAAATAGTAATAAAACTTTCTTCATTTCTTGCTCCTTGATGGCATATCATTGTTTCCTATCCTTGTGCTACTCAATAGCAACCATTACAATTGCTTATCATCTTCATTTTCCGATGTTCCTTTCTCACTATTGTATTCATCCCTTCTACATTACGTCTATCCTAATAAGTATTAGTAAAGTTCTCCCGAATACTCATTAGGTCATGTGTCAGCCTCTTGTACCCATGTTTATACCAATTTCATATTTTTAGATACTTATATGATCTAGGAACTTCAACAATATATATTTGCTCCCTCTTCGAAGTTGTCTTCGCACAAGGCTGTCTTCTTAGCATTGTTAGTAACAAGCAGTTCATTTATCCTTCCTTCTAGTTTCTCTTAGGAATTTACCCAAATGCATTCCTAATTTCTTAAAGACAAAAATTATTCTCTAATACCAATAATTATATTAGGATCATCAATGAGGGTAACTGGTGCATTGGTTTGGACATTAGGCTGAACAACGAGCAGTTTTCGTTGACGAGGTCAAGTGCTTTGGTTGCTTGAATGTGCCCTACATGCAAACAATACATTTGCTATTGAATCAATTTAGGGCCGTGTAAGAGTAGGGGAACAGTGGGCTGATTCAAAGGACAAGATCTTCGATGCAATCAAAACCTGTCCAGTGGATTTCATATCATTTGTGGAGAGGTCAGATCTTGCCGCCCTTGAATTCCTTATGTCAAAGCAGCTGCGTGGCAACGTGAGTATGAATGGAGGCAACAATGTAGGGTTATGGGTGGCCAACATATTCAATGAGGTGAAAACATTTCATAGGAAGTTCGATGAAATGAATGCTAAGGCATCAGCCAGAAATTCTCAGTAGGCTAATCTCCAACAAAAATTCAGAACTGTAGCAATGGATGCCATCAGATCAATTTCAAACTAGTTGTATTGGCAAAAGGTTAGCTCAGCTCCAACCAAGGGTAAAAGAAATATGCACCTTGTATCAGGTCCTTCACTTTTATTAGCTTGGAAGGATTATGCTTCAGCTGTGATGTTTGCATTGGTTTTTACTGAACAAAATCCCAATAGTAAGAGTCTCAGTTAGCCAACTGATATCCAAAGATTGTTTCAGAAATTTGCTGATGTTTGACCCGTAAAATTGCTAGCGAACCTTCCCCCTTTATAGGAGTTACAACATCAAGTTGACTTCATTCCGAGAGCTACCCTTCTGAATCTAGCACACTACAAAATGGGTCCAAGGGAACATGACATTCTGGAGCAATTAGTGGACGACCTTTGGAAGAAACAATTAAATCAACCAAATTTGAACTCATGTGCAATTCTTGCACTACTAGTACTTAAAAAGGATGATAGCTAGCCAATGTGTGTTAACAACAAAGATATCAACAAAATAACAATTAAATTTTGCTTTCCTGTGCATCGAATTGAAGAATTATTCGATAAGCTCGCTAGGGCTACTAAATTCTCCAAGCTCGACATTCGTTGTGGCTAACACCAAATTCGAGTTGGCCTAGAAGATGAGTGGAAAATGATCTTTATGACTCGTCAAGATTTATACAAGAAGGTCATATCATTCAGGCAATACAAAAAGCATCCATCCTTCATGAGGTTAATGAATGAGCTTGTGGACATGCATTGAAGAAGCAAAATCTTTGACCCAAGAGATCTGGTTATGATATCTACCCTTACCACCCTCCTGATAATGTGCTAACTGCAACCATCTCGATAGAGTCAAGCTCTTCTGAAGCTGGGGATACCTAATGCGGAGCAATTACAGCTAAGGGATAACTTATCTCCATTTCCCTATTGCTTTGCTCATCTCCACGATCACTTTTTTGCCTTTTCTATTGTAAAGGACTGTCAGTTATTGTATCTATAGGCTGCTTTAGGAATAGTATACCATCTCTAACATTCATGTTTTGTGCTTTTCTTTCCACTATCTTAGTTTCCTTTTTTGTTATATGGTACAGCATGTATCTCTTTTTGGTTGTTAAGCCTTTTTCAGCAAGTTGAATTTCAACATCTTCATAATTTTCATATATATGTTGGCTGAGAACTTATTCAGGGGCTATGAAAAATATTATACTCTCTTAAGTTTTCCAATTGTTCTTCTCTGTTCTAACTCTGCATCTCCGTCTTCCTTCGACTTCCACATCAGGCACATTTACATATAATGGAAGCACTATTAAGTTGTTAAATAAATGATAAAATTAAAAAATATAAACATAAATATAAATTTTAAATTAAAAAAAGTGTGTCATGCATTTTGCGCCATATAAGCTATTGCTCCTGTATGACAGAAATAGCACACATCATTTTGAACATGTGCACCAAGCCAAGTAAATGGCATCAAGGGTGCGCCACATAGCGTCATACCCCATGGCATATGCTATTTTGAATCGTTGGCATGTATACTCATATGTGGTCCAAGATTGACACAAAGTCTTTCAACGTCCTCAGGACCAAATGAATCAAGCTTCAATGATATCTTATGTGTTGATAGGGCACATGTATATCATGGCAATTAGGAGTTCCTTTATTCATAATATATGGCTTAACTATTATGCATTATCTAGTATGAAGATGGTTCTTATGACCTTCTGACTTCCTAATTTATTTCATTAATCTATTACGACTTGATCTTCATGATATATGCTGGTTTGTAATAATATACATGCCCTCAAATTGGCATATCAATAACTTTAAACTATTTTCTAAGCATTGAACATAATGGCATATTGAACATTGGCTCTGAAACATTGATGAATGTGTCAAAACCTTATATAGAGCAATACTTATATATATAAATCAGCATGCATATATTTTTCTGATGTGATGAGACATGGAGGGGCACTTGGAACCATTACAAATAGTAGTGCAATCAAGTATACCAAATAGGTTGACATTTTGCATGTGAGTTATCTAAATTTGTGAATATGATACATATGAATATATGACTCTATATCGGAGATGTCCAATAGTCAAACATTTAGTTTTTATTCATAATATTCTATCATAAAGTTATGAAATTATGTTTTAAGTTTGTCCATTTGTATGTACTAGCTGCACTTTAAGACCTACAATAATCATGATTGTTTCTGATGTCTTTAGCCTAAAGCATGTACTATGAAATAATTGTAAACCTTTATTTTATAAATGTTATGATTTAATTTATATGGGTATGCATATGTAAATTTTTAATCCGCAAATCACTACATTAAGATTAATCCGCCTAATGAGATAGAAAACTCACCTCTATATATGTTGATATTTTTTGGATAAGGTGTGCTTATGAAATTACTAATGTCAATGAGATCAATAAGTAATGGCTAAGTTAAGAGAATGGCCCACTTGTGTTATATTTTCTGTTTTGAAATATTGTATAGAAATATATATACTTTTTACTTATATAGTATTTAATATAAATTTGTGAAAATGATACATATGAATATGTAACTCTATATATGAGATAACCAATAGTCAAACATTTTGTTTTTTATTCATAATATTCTATCATAAAGTTATGAAATAATTTTGTAAATTTGTACATTTGTGTGTACTAGTTGCACTTTAAGACCTATAATAATCTTTATTGTTTATGATGTCTTTAACCTAAAGCATGTCCTATGAAATAACTGTATACCTCTATTTTATAAATGTTATGATTTAATTTATATGGGTATGCATAATTCAATTTTTAGTCCTCGAATCACTATATTAAGATTAATCCGCCTACTATGACGGAAAACTCACCTTTATATATGTTGATATTTTTTGGACAGGGTGCGCTTATGAAATTATTGAGGTCGATGAGGCCAATAAGTAATAGCTAAGTTAAGAGAATGGCCCACTTGTGTTATATTTTTTGTTTTGAAGTGTTGTAGTTGTGGCTTGGGTTTATTTGGCATAATTAAACACGTAATGTGGATTTGATCTATGGCTTTGTAACTTAAGACCAGGGTTGTGTGAGGCCTTGTTAATTTCAATGCATTTAGTTTGCCTAGAGCCTTCTGGGAATGAAGGAAAACAAAACCATAATTTTCTTAATTGTCGCAACCAAATGAAATCTAATTATAATTCAGTCACTCGCTTAGGGTTGGAGTGGCCGGGCGTTAGGATAGGGTGCTGGTAATTGAGCTCCTCTATTGCAGCAATGAAATGAAAGAGGAAAGGACTCCATTATTCTCGCTTAACATATGGACATGAAGTATAAAAAACAACTAAAGGTTTAAAATGGTAAAGTTATTTATTTATTTGTATGCGAATCAAAACTAAATTTTAACCCGATCATGCAGGGTCAGAATCTCTCAACAGTAAATCAGAGCCCCAATCTAAACAATAAATAACTTAAGAGATCATAAATGATCACAAATGAAGCATGGGTGATATAAGCAGAAAGTTCGGACAATCTTGCATTACCCCTTGAGAAGAGAAGCCATTTCTAACGAGTACCTGATCAAAATGCAGCGGCATTTCCTCGTCGTAGCCAACTGCTTTCCTGTTTCCAAGGCTCCATCGGAGCGTTCTCGGTGTAGATCTTCACAGAAACCTCATCTCAGGCTACCAGCTTCGCAAGGTCCAAAGTCCAATGGCTGGGCTGTGGGCTTCCCCAGAAGAGTCATCAAACAGGTGAGAAATAAAATAGACATATGAGGAGCCCGGCGCATGGTGGTAAAGCTCCGGCGAGATGGCGAATATGGGGTTTTAAGCCCACGGAGGGGTTTCAGGTGGAAGCCGCTGTCGGCCCTTGAGAGATATAAATGTAGAAAGATGGTACGGTTAATTTAGAATTGGGAAGCTGTACCTCAGGTAACCTAACACATCTCTAGGTTCGGTATCCATTCAAATCGCGACACCTGGCATGCCTCTTTACCCCTTATGATCCGACGACAGCCCATATGTTTTAACACGTTTTTTAAAATATTTCGGGTTGGCCCGTCGTAATGTATATGAAATGGGCGGGAAACCAAAAAAAAGTACGCGACTTTTATCTCAGGTATAATAAACTTTTCTGTATTAAACCTAAGATGTTCTATAGTCTTTACGGTTCATATAATTCTCATATACCTCGTATAAGGAAATCGTGAAGTATTTGAGGAGATGGAAGGATCGAATGAAGGTTCTGCTTTCGAAGACTTCGAAGATTACGAGGAAACTCCGACGTTAAACTTTGATCAAGCTTTTTCTGATTTAATAGTAGTAAGTTATTATATATACTGTTTGTTTTTTTTTTTTTTTTACTTTTTACTGTTTCATTACTGGGTATCAAACGTTGGTTGTAGTACTAACGATCATTACTCGGTATGAAGTTCTTCTTAGCTCGGTATTAGGTCGGTATTCATTATTATAGATCGGTATACGGTCGGTACTGATTATAATAGCTTGGTATAAACTCGGTGCACAGTTGTACCGAGCTAATAAATATTAATACGTCATATTGCCGATCATTCAACCTCAGTATAAGCTTGATTTAATGTCCGGATTGATATTAATCTAACTTTGGTTGTAGTAGTACCGATCATTACTCGGTATGAACTCCTTAGCTCGGTATAAGGTCGGTATACATTATTATAGATCGGTATACGGTCGGTATTGATTATAATAGCTCAGTATAAACTCGGTGCACAGTTGTACTGAGCTAATAAATATTAATACGTCGTAGTGCCGATCATTCAACCTCGGTATAAGCTTGTTTTTAATGTCCGGATTGATATTTAGATATAAAGCTAATATGGATGTATGAATATTTCTTATGGTGTTTACAATTCTGAGAATGAAGCATATGAAAAATATTGCCAGTACGCGCATTCAACTGGATTTAGTGTTCGGAAAGATCATCACCATTTCTGGCCAAATATTGCAGTAGCCTCAGTCTTACAACAAATGGATCTCCAAATCTCTTAACAAGTAGATTACAAACTTATCTAAATGTCGAAGTTCGGCATCTAAAATAAATCTTTGGAGTATATCCCTGCATAACAAATACCGAGTATTAAATACAATTCATTCAGAATATTAAATTATACAGACAAAATACGCTCGGTACTGAACAATACCGAGTAATACCGCATGTTAATCATGCTCGGTACAGCTCGGTACTGAACAATACCGAGTAGTACCGCCTGTTAATAATGCTCGGTACTGCTTGGAACTGAACAATACCGAGTAGTATCGAGTGTATTTTGTACTCGGTACTGCTCAGTACTGAACAATACCGAGCAGTACCGAGTTTATATAACTCTATAAAATATGTTTTAAATTAAGCTTATACCATTAATCTGAATAATGAGCAGTATCGAGTGTTATAAATGCTCGGTACTAATGGGTAACACTCGGTACGAGTTCTTACCTAAGCTTATACCACCCAATAAACGACAATATCGAGCAATACCGAGTCTTAGTAATGCTCGGTACTGCTCGATATACGAGTATACCTCGGTTAACCATAACCCTAATCATTTTAAAAGAAGAAGATAATACGTTGTTGATAAAAAAATTAACTAACCTGAGGCATTGTTGAACGCAAATACGAAAAGCTTGAAACTTGGTAGAAGATGAAGTATCGCCGGTGGAAGAAGATGTAGTTTATGCAAGTAAATCTTGTCGGAAGTGATAGACGGTCATATTTATTTCAAAATTATACATAATTTTCGGGTCCGCGGGTTTTTTTACGGGTCCGCCATTCGGCCCATTAAATTTAAATTCCGCACGTGTCATTAACCCAAACTTCGGCGGGTCGGTTCGCTGTAATAGGTCTGCCATGTGTCGCGATTTGAAGCGATACTGAACGTAGAGATGCGTCAGGTTACCTGAGGCAATAAAAATTCGTCTGTGGAGGGCGTAGACTAATAAAAATGCTCCATATCATTTTATTGCTGGATATCCAGCTTGATATTCTTAGATATCACTGGATACAAGATCGCTTAATTATGACATCATTTGGGCACATAAATGATTGTCAAATGCTCTATGATCGAGAGGATCAATATGGGCCCTTCGATGGAACACTCCGAACCTGTCATGGATCTTCTCCATATATTAAAGGGTGTGCCACTGACAAAAATCTATAAATAAACCCACACTCTCTATATGAAAGAAATCTTTTGTTAGGGAATGAAGAGAGCTTTGAGGTTTCAAGGATCCTAGAGTTATATATAAGAACCACCATCAAATATTTGCTCTGTCCATGGTCTCCCACCCTCCGACCATAGTCGCCCACCGACTATAGTCTCTCCGACCAATATCGCCTGCTGACTATGGTCCCTCTGATCACTGTCACCATGACCGATTGTGATCCCTCTGACCACCGTAGCCCCGATCGATTGCAATCCCTTTGACACCGCCACCTCGATCGATTATGGTCCCTATGACTACCATCGCTCTCCAACTATGTCCCCTTTGAACACCGTCACCCTCCGAACACCGTCGTCCGCCAAGTACGATCCCTTTGACCACCATTGCCCTTGACTACAGTCCCTCCAACCACCATTACCTCTCGTTTACGATCCCTCCGACCACCATTACCCTCCCCCCCCCCCCCCCCCTCCCACCCCCCCCCCGCCCCCCTTCCCCCCCCCCCCCCCCCCTCGACTACAGTCCCTCCAACCACCATCACCCAACTATTACGATCCCCCTGATCATTATCACCCAACGATTACCATCCCTCTAACCATTGTCACCCAACTACGATCCTCTAACCTCCATCACTTGCAAACTATGATCCCTCTAACCATCATATCCCTATTACGATCCCTCCAACCTTTGTCACCCAATTACGATCATACCTTCTAAATAAATAACCCAACATCCTCTTGAGAATAACTCTCAACTCCAGCTATGTAATATAAACTATATGATGTATAATGATCTAAGGCCTTCCCCCCAAGAAAGGTTCTCATTTGTAATCAACAACAAGTATTTGTGGATTCAATTCAACTGGGCCAAGCCCCATAATTTTCACCCTTTTCAGGGGTTTCTACATAAAAACTACAGTCTCTTATGAATCTAGCACCACTCACTCTTTATTTATATGTGTGTAGAATCTTCGTTCAAAGTTAAGACATTAAGCACTTTATCTCTCTACGTCACAAATATTCCAATACGCAACAAAGGTTACTAATAGTTGGAGTAAAAAAAAAGTGCAAAGATGCTGCTAAAGAGCATATAAGTATATGCCACCAAATTTTTTTTAATTAGGAATATTTTCTTCTCTTACTTAGAAATCTCATTTAGTTAAATATATGATCAACTTAATTTGAGAACTCAGACATCTTAGAAGTTAAAATTTCATATCAATTCACTCTTTCTTTCAAGCTCCTATGAAACAAAGGAATGAAATATGAAAGCACCATTTTCTAGTATGGTAAAAGCATAAAAAACTTAGTATGATTTAATAAGAATTTTTTTTCTTTAGGTTGTTAGTGAATGCTTAAAGTCATTGATATGAGCTATGTAGTGAGGCTTCCTTTTGAATCTAAAAAAGCTATCATTATAGATATAATATATTAAAAAATTGAGGATATCTCATAATTTTTTGTGTTAGAATGAGAATATAAATAGTCAAAATTTAAAAACAATTTTATAATTAATTTCATCTGGAGAAAAAAATAATATCAAAATATGTTAATATAATTTTTAACATATAAATTTGAGTAAATGAAGTCTAACATCATCACAAAAATATAATGCAAAAGTTGATAATGTTCATAAAATAGAAGCTTATATCTTGCAATGTTACTCCAAAATGATAATTCTTTCCTTTTATTTTGCAACTAAGCTTACATCTTCTTTCCCTTTCAAACCCATAGGTTAATATTAGGCCATGATAGCATGATGCATGTCTTAGCCTCAAAATATTTTAGTGGCTTATCATAGGAAATGACCTTGATGGCATATGTTCCTAAGATAAAAGAAGTTATATTAAGGTGGTTGCGGGAGATCTTTAGAGCAAATCATATTTGAGTTAAAACCAATCAAAAGAAACAAATTTGTATTGCAACCAATTGATCAAGTATAGTGCCAAAACTTCCATAACCAATATCTCCTTAGTTTACTCATTGAGTGAAGCGATTTAAGTTTCAAACTTATTTGGTTTGGTGAACCGTATCTGATCACGGTCTTAGATCGCTAAGTTATGATATGTACAACCAATATGATTAACATAGAGAGTTTATGATGTGGAACATTAAGTTAATTTTAAAGGTTCTACCATATATAAGAGCAAGATCAAGTGCTCAATATGAGATTAAGATCTATCGTAACATCATCAAGCTAACATGAATAAAGAATCATGATATGAAACTCAAAAAAAAAAAAAATCACAGATTTGAACTCAAAATATTTATTTAAAATTCTTTAATTTATATTTTTTATATGGAAGACGAACGCTTTGAAGTTATTTTTTTCTTTATTCTAAAAATATTTAGGCTTGAAAAGTAAATGTTTGAGATGCTACCCCATGATACCTCATGAGGGGATAAAATCTTGAAGTGCAATTGGAGTGGTTCCACTTCACTTCCTTTTTCGCTTTCCAAGATTAGAATTTTTCCTCCTTTTTTCTCCAAATTTGAATTGTATAACCTAGTGTAATAGGTTATGTAATGTGTAATAAATTAAAAAAAAAGGTTTTGATACTTTTTCAGAAAAAATTTGGTAATTGAAATCTTTAGGGTTTAAAGTTCGGTGGCCTACCCCCACCCTATTGTGGAAGATCTGGATTTCATTATTATACATGGTGATCACATTTCCAATTTTTCATAAAATAGTCTC